AGGGAATCAGATGGTCAGGGATTCTCAAAGACACCTCTGCCAGAATTTGACTTTAGCTGAATGGTTACTTTTCCCTGACCCTGGTGGGTTCATATGAGTCAATACTTTTCCTATCACACACACCAATGAACTGACAAGAGAAATGTGGTTAGGAAACAATTTGGTATTTATACAGAAAGTTCACTTTTCCTTATATTTAAGAATTTGGACATATGAGTTATTCCACAGAAAGGATAGAAGGAAAAACACAAGAGTAGACCCAGTTAAGAACAGACATTCTCTCAAGGCTTAGTGGCACATGTTTATAATTACAGTATTGAGAAAGCTGAGGCAGGAGAATCACTAAAATCTAAGACCAGTCTGGGCTATTGTGTGAGACTCTCAGCAAGCAAGCACAATTCTGGGTCTCATAAGTCACACTCCCAGAGCAAATGGGGGAAGGGAGGAAATGATCAGAAAGTAGCAAGAAAAAACTCAGCAGGCGTGGCCAAGTTCAGTCAAGTGACCCTAGACAAGGTCTAAAGTGTGCACCTCAGTTTCCCATCTGGCAAATAGAAACATCTGCCTCACTAGTGTATTACAAGAAAGAAATCAAATAACGTAGCTAGCTAGTCAGAGAAGTAGCTGGAAGCACCTGACAGTCATAAGATGGTAGATTACTATCAATCTAATGCAATATAATTCATCAAATATTGACTGAGCCCTTAATATTTGCCTAGGATTGTGTCCCTGGTGCTGGAATTGAAAGGGGCTGAGTAAGATGGCAGGTTAATGACTGAAACAGGGTAACTGGGATGAAGGCAGTTTGAGGCTTTGTATCAGAGTGATTTTATTAATATATACACACACATATATTAGAAATATAATTATAGGAAGTACCCTTACCATTACTCTGTGTTGTTCCAGTTCTCATTTCTTCTTTCTGTCCTCCAACTATAACTCATGACATATACAGGGTTTTCTTGGTTAGGGTTCCTACTGCTGTGAAGAGAAACCATGACCACAGCAACTCTTATAAAGTAAAAAAAAAATTGTGTGGCTTTATCATCAGGGCAGGACATGGTCGGGTGCTGGCAGACATGGTGCTGGGCTACATCTTGATCTGAGACACTGAGTATGGCTTGAGCACATATGAGGCCTTAAAGCCCATTCCCACAGTGACGCACTTCCTCCAATAAGGTCACCTATCCCAACAAAGCAACATCCACTAAAAGTGCCCATCCTTTTTGGGACCATTTTCTTTCAAACCACCACATTCCACTCCCTGGCCTCCAAAGGCTTGTAGCTATATCATAATGCAAAAATGCATTCAGTCCAATTTCAAAAGTCCCCATGGGCTATAACAGTGTTAAACTTATTTAAAAGTGTAAAGTTCATAAATCTCTTAATTGCAATACCCGTAAAGTCAAAATCAAAAAAGCAGATCATATACTCCCAACATATAATGGCACAGGGTATACATTATCATTGCAACATGTAATGAAGGCAGCATAGTGGACCAAAGCAAGACCAAAACCAGCTGGGCAAACTCCAAACTCTGCATCTCCATATCTGATGTCAAAACACCCTTCAGGTCTCCAACTCCTTTCAGCTTTGTTGACTGCAACATACTTCTCCCTCGTGAGCTGGTTCCACTCCCCATTATCAGCTCTCCTTGGCACGTATCGCATGAGTTTGGCATCTCTAACATCTTGGGGTCTCTAAGACAATCCAGGCTTCAACTTCACAGCCTCACACAATGGCCTCTCTAGGCCTCTGTTAAGGATATTCCTGGCACATGCTTGGCCTCAGTGGCTTTCCTGAGTCATGGAGGCAAATTCCACAGTTCCTTTCTTCTGAACTTCAGAACCACGTGGCCGAAGCTGCCAAATTCTGCTGCTTACTGGGGCCATAAAATGCCCCCCTTGTTCAATTACATTTTCTCCAACTTTCTGTTTTTGATGGTCACCTTACTGCCTAAGCTTGGCTGCCCTGGAACTTGCTCTGTAGTGCAGGCTGTCCTCAAACTCAAAGAGCCACCAGCCTCTGCCTTCTGAGTGCTGGGATTAAAAGTGTGCACTGCCGCACTCTAAGCTTTTCTTTAATTCCTTTGGAACCTTCGCTGGGTGGGATCTTGCCCTGATGTGACCATTCCCTTTATTCCATTTCTTAATCTGTTTATCTCCTTGAAAACAGGACTTAGTTCCATTCCACTTTCTGGTTGTTCTTTTCTCCTCAAATTTTACATTTTCTGTTCCTGTCCAGTATATATCTTCATTAGAGTTAACACTAGTAATCACACAACAGATTCTATACTAGGCTATTTTAAGATTTCCTCTGCTAAGGGAATTAATCCAAAACTGTTCATTTTATCCTTGGGGACACTTTTTGGACAATGGCAAAAAGCAGCTACTTTACCAAAATATCAAAAGAAAGATCTCTAGACAACACACTAAAATTCTCCTCTTAACCCTCTTGAGCCAGCCCCCACAGTTCAAATCACTCTTAGCACCACTGTCTTCCATGCTCCTACTGGTATGGTCCATTAAGCAGAGCTTAAAGCATCCCACTGTTTTCCTAACTCAAACTCATAAAGCCCAAATTCCTCCAGATGAAAGCATGGTCATGTCTATCACAATACCCCAGTCCCTGGTACCAACATCTGTCTTGGTTAGGGTTTCTGTTGCTGTGAAGAGACACTATGACCATGGCAACTCTTATAAAGGAGAAACATTTAATTGAAGTGGCTTACATTTTCAGAGGTTAATTATCATCGTGGTACAGCATGTAGACATGCAGGCAGACCTGGTGCTGGAGCAGGAGCTGAGAGTCCTTACATCTTGACTCACAGGCAACAGGAAGCAGTCAGTCTTACTGTGCTTGACTTGCGCATATATGAGACCTCAAAGACTTTCCCCACAGTGACACACTTCCTCCAACAAGGCCATACCCACCTCAACAAAGCCACATCTCCTAAAAGTGCCCCTCCCTTTGGGGGCCATTTTCTTCCAAACCACCACAGGTGTCTCAAGAATCTCTGTGACATATGTAGTAGGAGACTCAGTCTATTAGACAAGAAAAAGCTGCAAGTCAAAATTTCCAAAGCAACATGTGAAATACCACAGTGGTGTATAGATTGAAATTGGAGGGAGGGAGGATGAACTGTAGAAGAGTAATTGGGCCAAAGTTCCTTGTAGGAGGCATAGTTTAAGGAAAGCATTGGAGGAACCAGAGCAGCTCAACATGTGGTCCTATTTTCTTCAAAGGAAAGAAATGACTGATGCCCCGTCACTCAAAAGGCTGGAGTGAATTTTCAGTCTGGCTACCTGCTGTTCTTTGTTTTATTTTTTCACTATTCTAAGGAACCAGGCTTCCTGAGTCCTCCAAAATCCTGGATATTGCTTAATCCCTAATCCTGAGCTCTGTCTCTGAGCAAATAGAACCCATTCTTATGAAAGAGGTCCCAAGTACTTTGCAGTATCTACCAACAGATACAAGCCCTTCCTCTGTTAGCCCTTGCCTTGAGCACTGTTTAGCAGTCAACAGAACTTATTCTTACTATACCTGCTTTGCTACTTCGATAGGGAGTTTCTGTGTATCGATGCCTAAAGCTTTATTGTGATCATTGCCATGTGGAAACCATTCCCTGAAGTTTTTCTGTGCTTAAATGTGCAAGAAAAATAAATGGTGAAGTCAGAAGTATTGACCCAGCATCTGCGAAGATGGTGCTACCTCAAGTTTCAGTCTTCACCTCGTAAACATTGTTTCCCCAAAGACCTTGAAGCTTGTGTTTGCGGGAGTCCCTGGCAATTCCTGATAGGATGCTGCCTACAGAAAGATAGTCAACTGGGTCTGGTATGAGAGGCCTGTATTCCAGCATTCAAGAAGGAGGGGCAGGTGGATTACAAATCCAAAGCCTTCCTGCCTAAACTCCAGAATGAATTTAAGGTCATCCAGGTCAAAATAAGTAAACAGCTCTGGGGATGTGGTTCGATGGCAGTCTTTGCTTTCTGTGCGTGGATCCTGGGTGCCATCCCCAGTTACTTCTCACCCAGGAAACAAAACAAACAAACAAACAAACAAAAAAACCAAGCAGAGACAAGGCATTTCAGACTAGGGAATACCACAGTTCACACTGCAGCTTTCTGCATAAGCAAAGCTCTTTTTAGCCTTTGTGGTGTTTCCCCAAGTCCCTCCGATTTCATCTTTCACACCTCAGAAAATAAAGGTCAGGCCTCCTGAAGAGGGTCCTTCGATTTTGTGTTAAGTTTTTCTCCCCTGGATGGGTCCATATCAGGGCAGAAAGAAAATGGTAGCTTTGGAAAATCAAATATTTTTAGGGATCTGACAAGAAGTCCCATCTTTTGCCCTAGCTTGCAGTCATTCAGAAAATTTGCCCATTATTAATTCACCCAGATCATCAATGCCTAAGGCAACTGGTAGTCCAGACCGTGTGATATTAGAGAGAGTCCAGCAGAGGGAGACAGAGGTTAAATAAGGTGCGGACCCAGGAACTTAGCGCTTCACAGTTTTTGAGTAAATGAGGAAACAGAACTACTCTATCCAACCTTTTGGCCCGCCCAGTGTTGAATACAAGTCGTCTGAATGTGTTAAGGGTAGGCTGACTAATGCATTTTCGCCTTTGCAAACTTGTCGGCATTAACTCCACCCTATACGGACATGCCAAGTTTAGTCCGTGCTTGGAAACGGGTATACACCACCGGCACAGGTGATGAATGGGGGCAGAAAAATGGGAGCCAGCGGAACGTGAGTGTAGGTCACGCGCCTAGCGAGTGATCGGATTTACTTTGTCGCCAAATACAGCTGTCTGTTTCCTCATCCGTCCTCGCCTCCTCTGAGAGGTCACAAACACTTTGAACTGCCAAATTCTCTTTGGCAGGGTGACAGGGTGGCCTCTAGTCACCTGCAGCATTTCCCAGCCCTGTATGTGGCGCTCAAGCTCAGGGACAGCCAAAGTAGTTCCCAGAGGCAGTTTCTGAGACACCCATACACAGGCTGTGGCTCGGAACTTGGTAGGAAGAGATGGCTGCAAGGCGGGCTGTTCGTTGTCTCTTAGGATTGGGCTCTTGGCTGCTGGGCGGGACTCCGGCTAAGGCATAAAAGAGGAGCGCCACTGTCCCTCGCTGCAGTGCTGAAGGTGGAGCCCCAGCTGTGAAAGGGTCATCAGTAGTGTTCTTGCTCAGACCCAGCGAGATTGAAGAAGAAAAGGTCTGATTTCTATATATACATGTATTTTGTTTTGATAATTGGTAGGCAGGATGGGCATGAGGATGTGCCACAGGCCTAGACGTGTGGGATCTAGGGACTGGAGGATCTAGGATCTAGAATTTCAGAGGATCTAGGGAGGGAATCTTCTGGACTCCAGGCGCCCAAATTCATGTTTTTCTCTGTGTTGCAGGTACGCTTCTGTCAGCTCCACTCAAACGCAGGCTAGCAGGATGCGCCTCCTCGGTCGACTCCGTTCCTCTGCTCCTGAGCCCGCCTTCTCCAACGTGCTCACTCCGGGCCGCATCCCAGAGTTCTGCATCCCCCCGCGACTGCCGGTCCCCGGCGTTCCCGAGACTCCTCTCCCGGCTGCCACACTGCCTTGGCGCTGCGCGGCGGAACCGGACCTGTGGCCGCGCACGCCCACCGACCACGACGATAATGACTTTGACCACGCAGGTCGCACCGACTGGGACCCTCGCTCACAGGCCGCGCTCTCGCTGCCGCACCTGCCCCGCGCGCGCACCGCCTACGGCTTCTGCGCGTTGCTCGAGAGCCCGCACACGCGCCGAAAGGAGTCGCTCTTCCTCGGCCACCAAGGCGTTCCCCGGCCCGTACTTCGCCGCCGCGCGCACACCTACGCGGGCCCGCGCCGAGCCTCGGACTCTGCGAGCGCCGCCCCGATCGATCTGGACTCTGCTCCACAACCCGCCCCTGTGCCCCGCATGCGCCGCCTCCTGCGCTCTCCTGATGGGCTGCTGAGCCGCGCTCTGCGGGCCCCTCGCGGTCGGACAAGCGCGTGCCCTGCGCCCAGTGGCGACAAGCACGAGCGCGCTGCCTCCTGTGTGTCCCCGATCCCTGCGAGTCCTCGTCCCGAGCGTCTGCAAGCCGAGGCCAGCGTGCCCCTGGGCCACGGGGACTGCACGCTGCGCCTGGCCGCCGAGTACTGTCCGCGCAGCGCGTGTCTCCGACTCCGCCTGCTGCGTGCCGAGGGTCCGGTCGTCGCGTTCGAACCCCGCGCCCTGGGCTGTCGCCTCAGTCTGGTGCTGAGGCAGTCGGGCCAGCAGCGTGCCAGCGTTTTCCGTCGCAGCCGCAAAGCCACCCTGGACCAGGACTGCTGCTTCGACCGGCTCTCGGAAGAGCAGCTGCGCCGCTTGTCAGTTCGCATCAAGGCCGAGAGCAAGGGCCGCGGATTGGAGCGTGGACGGCCACTGGGCCAGGGCGAGCTGCTGCTGGGCTCACTGCTGCTGCTCTGAGCCCAAATTCCATGGGGCCATGGACAGTGAAGGTTGCTTGGCCTTGAGATGCACACAGTCTTGGCCCTCGGACATTCAGAGCCTCTTGGACGCTGACAATGGCTCGGCCCTGGGACACACATAACCTCTTGGCTCTGGTACACTTTCCCTTTTGTACAAATAAAGTATTTATTTTTCTATTTATGACCTTGCAGTGTGGATGTTTTGATTTCTTGGCCTCCACTTTTCTGGTAGCTTTTTGGTAGCAAAAGAAAAATTAATGGCTTTAGTCAGTGTGATCCTCTTTCAGACCATTGTAGTTAAAAAAAAAAAAAAAGGTTCTCCCTGGAGTGGAAGAGTGAGAGCAGAAGCAGTCACATGCTTGCTTTTCCTGTGTGAACCCTGAGAAGTTCACATGGCTTAAAAAAAAAGTATTCGTTCAGTTGTTGGTAAAGTACTTGCCATGAAGGCATGATGTCATGAAGTCTGTCCCTGGAAACCATCTTTTAAAAAGCTAGTCCTGTAGATAAGCAATTGGTAATTCCAGTGCAGGAGAGGCAGAGACAGACAGATAGTTCCCCGAGGTTTGCTGACCTGTCAACCTAGCCTCCTTGGTGATCTCCAGACCAGTGGGAGACCCTGTACCAGAGAGCCAGGTGGATGGCGAGGAAGAACATCAGAGGTTGTAACTCTGCCTCTCTGCAGGACATGGTGCACACGCGACTGATTCTTCTTTCAAAGTCATCCCAGACATTAAGATCCATTACAGTGTTTTACATAATTAGGCAACAGTGTTCACACTCTCAGTTGTATGCACATGTAATCTGGGAGAGACCCTCTTCTACTACAAGGACATGTGGCTGAGGAGAGAATCCTGTCTGAGAAGAAACAGGACACTTTTGGGAGAGAATTCCTCATACACTGTAGGAGCAGAGGCACAGGGAGGAAGTAGAACCTGGAGGTGATAGTAGGGATGGGCATCCCTTTTGTCTCTTCCTTGAGGAATGTTTCTGTCCTCGGCAAACAAATTGTTTGTGTAGCCCTGCTCCCATCTAGCTGTGTGTTTAAGTTACACAGTTCTGAGTTTTGCTTTCTACATGAGTTAAAATCAGTTGTCAATTTCTTGAACTGTGGATTCTAAGAGCTTTTTTTTTTAAAAAGGTCTACTTTTATTATTTTTTAAATTATGTATGGGTGTGTGTATCTGTGGACATGTGTACCTGAGTGCAGGTACCAATGAGGCTGGGAGAGTTGGATGCCTTGGAGTTGGAGTTACAGAAGGTTGTGAGACATCTGACTTGGGTGCTGGGAGCAGAACTTAGGTCTTGAGTCACAGTGGCAAGTGTTCTTAACCACTGAGCCATCTACCCAGCCCAATAAGAGTTTTGTAATATGGTTTGTTTACATCTATTGATTCTTCAAACAGACTGGAGCTCACCGGAAACTGCTTACATCCAAAGTTTGCCCTTGATTTTCCCACAGTATAGTAAAAAGTCAGACATGCAAGCAGATGAAGTCTAGTCTTTTGTTTTCTTTCTGCCCATTGCTGTTGGCCCAAGTGTTCTTTCCTTCATCAGTGAAATATCTGTCTCTGGGGGCTTTGCTAAGAGATGCTTGGACCACAGTCAACTCTTGAATACAGTAACTTATGATGCTATAGCAGGACGGGGTGCAACTGCATGGTTGAACAGGTGCTCTGTCACAGTCCAGAAGGCAGACTCCTTTGCTTCCTTCCCAGTTTCTCGAGGGTTCTCGAATGGAGCTGAGCTGATGGCCAGCCGAGACTGAAGATTCAACTGACCCAGCAGCATGAATGCAGAATGCCTTAGGTTTCCCCTGGTCACTTTATCCACATGCAGTAATAGTAGTAGTAATAATAATCTACACTCGTTCTGTATCAGAAAGCCTCTTCCCAGTGTTGTTAGCAAAAATGAAGTCCTGGGCACCAACATAAATCCTGAATTAAATATAGTTTCAAAGTGGACAAATCAATCCTTAAAAATCATATCATTTGAAACTGAGAACTCATCACAGAGATACTTTCACAAAGTCATGTAGCTAGCACACAAAACTGACCTTAGACATGAACAAAGGTGTCCTGACTTTTCCAGAAGACTGGCCTACCCTGTGTGGTCTCACCCAGCCTTTTAATCCCCTTCTCTGCAATAGGTGTCATACTAAGCACAGAGGGTACAGCTATGAGCAAGATAGACAAGTGAATAGTGAAGAGGAGGAGGAGGAAGAAGAGGAAGAAGCAACCAAAAAGCAAGTTTCATCACTGCAGATTACAATAGCTATCATAAAAACAAATGAAGGAGGGTGACAGAGGCCATCGGGTCTGGAAATTAGCAAATGCTTTCAGAGGCCAAGTAGCCAGGAAGACTTCTCTGAGGCTTGAAAAGGGAGTAAGTCTCAGGAGGAATTAAATTCAGCATAGCTAAATCGCCACTTTCTTTGACTTTATACTCCCTTAGCAGGTTGTATTCATAGCTCCAAGTCAGAAGTCTTGGTTCTCTCCCAACTTTATCTCTCCTTGTCTTCCATCTCAATAAATGGAATGATGACTTTTCTTCTTTTTAAATCTTTCTGTGTGTTCCTGTGTGCATACATGCATGTACGTCCATATGTGTGAGCACAGGTGTGCACTTGCCATGAGAGCCTTCGGTGTCAGTCGTCACCTCCCACCTTATTTGAGACAGGTTCCTTTTGCCTATGCACACACTGGGAAAGGTGACCTGCGAGCTCCCAGGCATTCACCTACCTCTGTGTTCCATCTCAACACATAAGCACTGGGCTTACAGACCTGTGCTATGTGGGTTCTGGTGATTCCAACTCAGGGACTCGGGCTTACATAACAGGTGAGCATTTTACTTATAGAGACATCTCTCAAGCCCACTATCATTGTTTCTGTCACTCAAGTCAAGTGGGGCTGTCCTTGACCCCTCTGCCTCATGTTTTGCTTTCCTTTGATGAAAATGTCACCTCTTCACAAAGTCCTAGCTGGCACTATTGTCCTTATGCACTAACACTTCTTTATTTTTCCTTTCCTCTTTCCTTCCCTCCCTTCCTCCCTTCCTCCCTTCCTCCCTTCCTCCCTTCCTCCCTCCCTCCCTCTTTGTGGCACTGTTACTACCTGATGTTACAATACATGGTTTCTGTGCTATTGTTTGTACATTTTCCTCTTTCATGACAATGTATACTTTATAAATGCAGGAACTTGGTTTACATATTCATTGCTCTGTCTCAGATGCCTAAAGTAGAGTACAGCAATACTAAATATTCAATAAATATTGTCCAAACTGAGTGTGGGAAGGAAGACAGAATAAACAGAAAGAGTAGGGGAAGCAAACTCTGAGTCAGTGCAATATCCAAGAATTTGGTAAAGAAGATACTGGGGTACAGAAGACAGTGAATCAGCAGTCAGTGTCAGTGCTCAGACGGGAAAAGAAAGGGATGACCCTGTGGTTGAGAATGGGGTTGGGATTGGGAGGTTGACAAGGACTTCAAATGGCTGTTGAGGCTGAGCAAAGTGTATCGGTATCAGATATTCCCCAGGGAGGCCATTGGGTAAAGACATGAATGTGAAGTTAAGTTGTAATGAGACATGTCCACTGAGAGAAGCGACATGCAGAGAATGGAACATGTCCAAGAGAGGGTCTATGTGTGCTGCAGATGGCAGAGCTGGAAGGGTGGGGGCCACCCAAGCCTGTTTAGATGACAAATGCTTCCATCATGAGCCCCAGATACCTGACGTAGAACTTGGGGACTCCATGTTTGCCCTGTTGGGTTTCTGCCATGCTGAGTCGGACTTTTCTTTCCTATACCTGTATTTCTACATTTTGGAATGGTACTACTTGATGTGTCCCATTGCATCTGAGAGACAAGTAATTAAAAGAAAATCTTTTATTAGATTTAAACATTTTTATTCTGTGTTCAAACATGTGGTCACATATGTGTGTGGGTATATGTGTACGGGTACACACATGCCACAGCATGTACGTGGAGGTCTGAGGACAACTTGTAGGAGTCTGCTCTCTCCTTCCACGATGTGGGCTCCAGGGATTGAACTTGGGTCATCAGGCTTGGAAATAGGCACCTTTACCCACTGGGTCATCTCTCTGATCCCTGTAATTTGATTTTTGATGTTGTAGGGGCTCACAGTTAAGAGATTACCTGAGTCTCAGAAGTGATTACACTTGTAATTTTTTATAGCATTGGCATGGTTAAAGATGATGGGTACTCTGATTAAAGTTGAACTGAATGAATTTGCAGTAAGAGATGGCCATGAGCCCATGGGGCAAGGTATAGAAAAGTATTATGACTTAAAAGTAATATTCTTAGTTGTTAAGTTGATAAGGGGCGGACTGACTTATTCAGTTTGTTTTTGTTTTGTTTTGCTTATTTGTTTGAGACAGGGTTTCTCTGTGTAGCCCTGGCTATCCTGGAACTCACTCTGTAGACCAGGTTGACGTCAAACTCAGATCCACCCACCTCCACCTCCTGAGTGCTGGGACTAAAGGCATTTGCCACTACTGTCTGGCAAGGAGTTGGCTTATGATGGTTAATACTGATGTCAAATTGACATGATCTAGAAGCACCTGGGAGACAGAACTCTGGGCGTGTCTGTGAGGAAGTCTCTAGGTTGTGCTGAGGTGGAGAAAACCCAGCCCAACTGTAAGAAAACATTTCACTGGCTGCTGATGCACTGTGACCAGCTGCCTTCCACTTCTGCGACCATGTCTTCTCCACCATGGTGGACTGTCTCGTCAGACTGGGAGCCCCACTTTCCTTCCTTCCTTCCTTCCGTTGCTTTTGTCAGAGCAAGGAGAATGGAAACTAACCATTTCCTGCAAGTTTACAGAATAGCTTCACGAATATCTGTGATTCTAACCTTAAGTCTGTACAAAGGGCAGCCCACTGGGAACATGCCTGGGTGAGTGCACTAAATGACATTGCATCTTTCCACTCCACTGGCAGCAAACTCCACTCTTCACCTGCTGTGTTCCTAGTAGAACAGCGACTCAGCTGATGTGTGCTTCCCCAACGCAGCCATCAGCATGAAGAGTCTGACATCATCTACAAACAGCCTTGCTCTGACGGCGTATCTCCATGGATCAGACACTAGCGGAGGAAATCCACATTTTATTTTGCAAAGATGGAGTAGGATTTATTTTGCAAATTTGTAACAGTTCCTGATCTCAAAA